AATTTACGCTCAGCACTGTTTAAATATTAGCGAGCGAATAGATAATAGCAATACAGCTCTACTGCTCTGCCTCACTGTTCGGCCTTCGTGTGAAAAAGGCATGAGGCGTTTCTGTCGTCAGTACAACTGCTGGATTCAATTATATCAAATTAAATGGCGACCGCCGACAGCGCTACGACAGACAAGTATCGTTACTCTGTACTCGCGTCATCAACTAGCCCATTGGGAAATTAGTAATTGTTTGCCGTAGGTGGCATAGCTTTCTAATTTCAATTAATTTAATGCCTTCCTAGTCGCTAGGCGAGTAACACGAGATAAAAAACGTAATCAAGAATTTTCTGCTGAAACAATATTTATTACACTATCGTTTTCATTACGCGTCTTTAAAAAGAAAATTTTGATAGTACCCAAGATCCCAAGACGTTTCAAACAGTATCAATGTACAACAGTACTTGGAGAAATATATATTGTGCAACACTTTGTGAACGTCAAAGTTTATATTAAAATTTATTAGATAACTGACATGCCTTTGATTTGAAATGCTAAGAATGGTGCAACACTACAAGAGATTGAGATTCAAATATTCTAAACATTGAATTTATTATGTATCTCGGTCGATGGACGCTCAGCAAATGCGCATTACGCGTTAACCTCACTTTATCATTCCCTTTGTGCTAATCTATAAAGTAAACATGCTATAAATTCATCTGACAAATCAATTGAATAAGATGAAGCAGATAACGGTGTTGGTATTGTGCCGCAACACCTCTGTATACTGTCTAAATAAATGAGTAGAATTCGATGGAAGTGAGAAATTAGTATGAACCTATCTAAATAATTTATTTTTTTAAGGCTTGAATCACAGACTTCCATAGAATATAAATAAAATTGTCAGCCAGCATGCATAGGTAAATATAATTTCTTATTTGCTTTAATTTATTCCTTTACAATTTATTTAATGAAAGATTGGTTAAGAGGATACTTTTGATTTTGTGTATTGGGTTCATTCGAACTAAAGTTCCGACTCTCGTCTCAGTGAATCAATTTATTAGAAAGCTAGTGTTTCACCAATGCTATGTTAGCTAGGGTAAATAAATCTCTCTAATGCCTTAAGAGGATTTCGAAAAAATTTAAACAATTCTATTTTGATTAGTATCTCATAGATTACTTTGCGAAGATCATTTAATTTATTATTGTCCATTTTATATTAATCTTTTGTGAGTGTAAAAAAGGGTTTTGACAAAAGCTTATAAATATTTTTAGTTTTATAAGTAAAAGGGTTCTTTTGTCTACAATATATTCCCAATATTAAAATATAAAAACAATAATACAGTAAAATAAATGACAAAATAATTTAATATAAAATTTTGTCTAGTTTTATTTTATAAATTATATGTTTAGGTGAGATCATTGTTTGAAAATGTATAATACCTTTACAAAATAAATGTACTCGAACAAGTAACACAAAACAAAGTTATTATAGTAAACAACGCAACGGACTTATGGATTCTTTGTTACACAACAAAGGAGAACGCTTACCAAATTTTGATACACTGATGTAATACTTTTGTACTATGTTGGGAACAAAGATTAAAATTTTTAAACAATAAACACTTTTGTCCGACTGTGCGCAGGTTAAAGTTTTCCTTACCAAACTTCTTATGTTTGTATTGTAACCGCCTTGACTACTTAACTTAGTTCGTGGAACTCCGCTATTATTTCCTAGATTTTTATGAAAGTACAATTGTACAAAATAGAATAGTTCTATTATTTTTGTACATAAAACATATCCATCCTTTACCATCAACGTGTTCACTGTTTACCCTTTGTTAAAGATGTAGGCCTTAGTCAACCGTGGCGTTGCAACTGACCCTGAGACCAAAATCCTCGTTTAAAACATATTATCTCTGTTTTGTCAAAGGTAACGACAGGGATGATGATATCTACAGAGATTTTGTGCTCAGAAACCTACTGTTAATAAACTAAAGTCGGAATTAATAAACAAATATAATATCCTGAACTTGTTCTCTCTTTTCGAATATTGTAGAATTATATACAACTTTAAAGTTGATTTTAGAGAGAAAGCATTCTTGTCCGAACTGGAATATTACCATTCAGCTGCACTCAACAAAAACATTTACGTAAATTTCGGATGCATTTTCGCGAATTCAGCACTGGAGAACAAAAGCTTACTTGTTGGCTCTCACTAATTAAGTTAAAACTTAATTAAGCTTAGAAATGTAGTACATTTGAAGTGTATTACATTTCTAAGTATTATGAATTAGGTAAGAAACCAGAAACTATGGCACAGGATATTTAAGGGTTTTCCACTTGAAATAAAGAGGCTCAATTAACGCACTTAAACTTAATGAAACTTCATTTAAGGAATTATAATGTTTTAAACCAGTAATTTTTGACTACCTTAAGAAAAAAAGTATAGAAAACTAGCAGCTTATAAATGTGTTGTTTGGATACATCTCTTGTATAATTATCTTTAGGACAATCATAACTTATAGTACAACATACAATTCCTAACATTATTCACGTCTGTTACAAATATTTTAGGCATTATTCTCAAACCACAAATCACGTAATAACGTTTGGAATAATTTGGGTGCGACTAAAACGTTAACTGATGCGGTTTGCACTGACCGCAAAACGCGGCCTGAGGTCATTTTCTAATTCCACTTATTTACCTATTAAAATATCTTAAATTGCGACCTGTTCGCGATTAAACAATCAAACGACTCGTATCCTTGCTGGGAGTGCCTTAAGATAGTCGGTGGAGTTTGTTATGTGTTTTAAGAGACTAAAAACTTTTTTAACATAGCTAGTATAGTATATATCAAAAGAAGTTTCTTCTTTAGATAAAAACAACACGTAATGTTAGAAAGAAAATTCGACACTGTGCCGGTGTATCAGCGCAACACTAACCTTATTAAAATATTAACGTTTATGTCCCCACATTAATCAATCTGACACATGACTTGGTAACGAAAGCGCGCCATACGCGTAAAAGGATTCTGACTAATAATGTCTAAAAGTAAAAAGGTACTTAAACTCATGTATATATTTTTTTCCCCTGCTCCTACATTTTCTAGTATTGGTCCGCTTTGATTATAATAGTCCAAGCTTAATAAAATGTCAATGTTGACAGCCCTAAGGGATTTACATGTTTGTTTTATTCTGTAATTACACGGTTCATTACAATTGACTATTTGTTGTCAATAGTAAAGGTCAACAGTTTGGAAATATAGAACGATTCCGATAATAACAGACATTATGGTGTTTAAGTTGAAATTATTTTTATGTCGCTATTTCAAAAGCTATCACAAGCCTTCAATCTAATGACTTAATAATTATTTATAATTAATATTTACTTTGTATTTATTCAAAATTAATATTAGTTTTTAATCATTAAATATTCAAATCACATTTTCTGATGTATTCTTTAAAACCTTTGTTCGTATTTGAACCCCGTTCTAATGTTACAAAACCTCTGTAATTTTGAAGCGGACAATTTTTAAATTAAGTGCTTTCAATATTTTATTACTCTACTAACGTTGTCTTTTGTTTGATATTGCAAAGTTCTCAGACGTACCCTTTACCAAGCTAATTCGTTATAAAAGAACAAAGAACTAAAGGAAAGCTTTCTATTGAACTTTGGAACTTATAATTTCATTGAAGCAATGATAACGCGGTAATATTAAAACAATATAAGATCCCTAAAATATTTGGGATATATTTTCGTTGTCGAAAAATAACTTTTTACTCAAACTTTATACGTAGTTCATTCGAAAATTTAGGTAAATTTCAGACTCTGCGATATTTAAGTTCCCGTCTTTAATACGAAGAGATATGCTGAAAGCTTTTGTTGCATAAATTGCGGTTGAAATGCAAATTTTTAACTATTTCTCCATAATTTATAAAGAACTATGCAATTTCTTGAAGAACGATGTTAATTAATAGTTTCTTACACCTAACATTATTTCAGTAAAATATAGTGTAAATTGTAGCTTAAAAAAAGAGGAAAAAACAAATGAAAATGAAATAAAATGAAGCGTATCCTTTGTGTTGAATTTCAAAAGCTGTTATTACTTACACGTTGTTCGAATATGACAATGTAACCTGTAATCTGACTAATAACATAGATGGAATACTACAAGTTAGATAATTTGTAGTTTTTACGACACAACACAACGTAAGCTTTATACGTATTGTGAAATAGGAATTATTCAAGATTATATAAAAGAGTATAAAGAATTGTAGAGAAAAAAGTCATGGTATCGATGAAACCGTGTACTTCTGCTCGAATGCTAGAGATTAACTTCCACTAAACCGATCACTCGTGTGCACTCTCAATGGGGTCTACGAGGCTTATCTACAATCGTAGCATGCACCGCCAATCAACTGTGCTACGTTGCTACGGATGATAATATGTATTATTCAGCACAGACTACACTCTGTATTCTTACACTGGGCTACGACTGCTCTGACATTTTTATTAAAAAATATTGCTGTCCATTGCATTGTCTTTTACGAAATAGAGACTTCAATATGTATTCATTTAAAAAAACATTTCCTATCATTATTCTCAATCTCGGGATTTAAACTTTCGTGATACATTATTAAAAATGACTTTAGACTGAATCATTCTCGTTTCAGCTCGCTGTACATCTTTAGTTTTAACTGTATAGTCGAACTGTTTAGTTAAATATGGTTATTTTATATCAAAAGTGTGTAGCAGGCTTCAGTTAGATGTAACCTGTGGTGGCTCTTAAATTAGTCAGTGCCGAAATTGAACTTAATAAATAGATTAAGCTTTTAATTAGATTGAATTATTATCCTTGGACTTATTAATTAGTAATTAAGATTTACACAATGTCTATGATTTCAATTCGTTATCACTTATGACTCTCTTTTACATACTTACCTCTTCATTTAATTATGAGTGCTCGTAAGTAAAAAATAGTTTTGAAACTTTTGTTCTTTGTCTATAGATTCTGCCGTTCATGGAGCCGCAGGAGCTACTGGCTTGCCTCCTAGCGGCAATGGCACACGACTTGGACCATCCGGGCGTGAATCAAACCTTCCTCATCGCCACCTCCGACTATATAGCCAACCTGTACGACGTAAGTATTTGGTTTCTTGAGAAGCACATTATTAGCAATATTTAATCTTACTAATATTATAAATGCGAATATTTGGATGGATGGATGTTTATTTGAAGGTATCTCCAGAACGGCTGAACGATGAAATTTGTCATGGACGTAGGACATAGTCTGGAAGAACGCATAGGCTACTAATTAAGTTTTTTTTCTTAATTCAACACAGACGGAGTCGCGGGCGAAAGCTAGTTAACAAATAAATGTATGTTACTAGTTTCAACTAAATTTTGAATATTAGTTAACATTTTGTTATGAAACCGCAGGTCACAACTAGTAATAACGTACAAAGTCGACTGTTTAATCCATTTGCATTACAGCCACCGTTTGTGCACTCGAGTTAATTGTACATTAATTATTACACACACATGAACGTGGTATTAACAGCATACTGTGTTAATGTAACTGGGGATTTCCACTGTTGACATACTTGTGCACAAACATACTGTTACCCATTTCATTTCTTTTCACAATCTTCAGCTCATGATACGTCTCCACCAAGGGACTCGTAGCCTACCCTAAATTAGGGGTTACTAAGCCATAGTCAATCACACTGACCCAATACGGGTTGATTGACTTCACACATTGTTGCATCACGATGTTTTCCTTCACCGTAAGAACGTCGGATAAATGTACATACATAAATCGAAAACCGAAAAGCTCATTGGCCATAACGGGATTCGAACCCAAATGCAGATTACAACCCCTGTATCACCGATGTTCCACAAAGACTCAAAACACGTGTTGATAAGTAAATCCTAAATAGAGTATGGATTAGCGCACGATGGCTAATTATTGTAATAGTAACTTAATAGTATTAACTAATTGCTACAATATATTTGTATTAATTCGATATGGAATTTAATGTACACTAAGTGGCAATTAAACTAATCTCGAATTAAGTGATAATCCTTTCGATTTGATGTGAATGTTAATTATTGATATTAATTCTGTTACATTAATTCATTTGCTTTAAATGCAACATAGTCAGGGGTTCAAAGATTAACTCTGTCATAACAATAGATTAAATTTGAACCTTGATCCATTGCTATAAATATTTTAGAATGTTTCGTGCCTTTAAAATACTTTACCTGTAATTTAACAGTATTCGAAGAACATACTTTTCTCAAAAAATAAATGTAGAAACTACTTCAAATAATGAAAGAGGTCTTGTTAACATGTTTGCAGAATCCTGTTACATTAGACTACGAGCTACAAGTATGTTAATTTTTCATCTTGACTGGCTATTTTAATTGGCATCATCTAACTCCGTTGCGTTAAACTTGTTATGAATAAAGCAACCTGTGTCACTATTAATATTATGCTCGTTAATTTTTCTTCTAATACTAATATCTTGATTACTAATTAATAATTAAAAAAGATTATTTTTACTAGATATATTAAAATAATTATTTGTAACAAATAATAAATCAGATGGGTAATATTTTTTATTAATTAAATAATATGTGCTACAAAGTTTGATACACTTCTGTAGCAAATTTCATGGAGTAATTTTTTTTAAGGTGTAAAAACTGAAAACATATTCATGACTTTTTTTTGGAAAAGTATGTCAACTTGGTACAGAGTTTTACATAAGTGTGTTACGCAGAATTATAACGACGGATTTTAAGACTACTTGTGCTAATTTTCGCTCGCAAAAAGTGACATGTTTCGCTTATTCAACGTTAATTGACTACATGGTACACGATTTAAAACAATGAACTCATGAATACCGAACATGAAGCAAACTAAAACACGCATTTACCGTCAGTTTCCATTGCTGAAACACTTGACAATAACGTGTTGTTATCTCTAGAAAAAAATTAGAGTTAACTGGTAGGTTTTTAAGGATGTTGTTGCGATGGAAACTTTCACATAGAATAGCGAGAGCTTAACTGTGTTAAGTAGACATGTTAGATGACTACTTTTTTAACAAAGTGAATGTTGGTTACGTACTGTAATTAACAAAGTACTGTAGTTCTGGCATTTTTTACCATAAAATAGAGTTTAACAAACATTTTTGTATTTCTACTATTACGTATAAGTAAGGAGATAAGTTTAAACCGAGACTAAGCTCTTACTTAGTACGCAACGTTCAAGAAAAACTAAATTATTTCAAGAACATACTGAAATTCTTCTCAAAGCAGTGATTTATATTGAATTAGTTTAAAATGTTCCAATTTAATTCAAGTCAAATCAAAATCTTAAGGAAGAAATCAGTACCGGCGTTAGGGTGGGGTGCGGTTGGGCGCCCAGGAAGCTAGACAGGAAGGGGCGCCACAGGTCTGCGAATTAAACAGCCTGTCCCTGTTAACCACCCCGTCGTTTATACACTAGCGGACAACAATGGGACTCACATATAAACCCACACATATAGATAAAAAAAATTACCCTTGAGTCAGTTGGGTGATGAGTTTGTTTTAATTAATCAAAAGAATTTGTTTTAATAACAATGCCTATTTTAGTAACAATGAAATTATTTGTATTTAATTCTCTTCTCAAAATGATATAGTGAAAATATTCAAGTAATAATGAAGTGTTCTGTTTTGTCCAAACTTCCCAATCGAGTTACAAAAGGCTACCCCGCAACGCTTTACATACGCACTCGAGCGGAACCTTTACCCCGCTTTACCGTATAGAGTATCCCAACCTTTTTGTTTCGTATGTTCCACATTTTATTTTATTTATTTTAGATATTAACCTTGTATAGTATTTCAACATAATTTTGTAAATAGCACTTTGAAGTATGCTTTAGATTAAGTACATTATAGAGTTACAAGGTAAAACTTTAATATATTATTGTTAATTAAATGTACATTAATGTCTCTAGTTTTTAAAGAGAATGAGGTATGATAATATTTTAAACAAATGTGTAGACAATGGAATTCCGCCGCATTGTAGCATCGTTGTTTATATGTTTATATGGATACGATAAGACGGATAGATTGGATACGAATTGAAATAAAAATGTGTGACTTTTGTATAAAAAACACGTGAATATAACGGTATAAAAATAGATATCCAAAGCCCGCGAACGCACTGCATTAATAAAGGAATAACGTGACTAAGTAATTACAAAGTTACATTGAAGTGTTTCCAAAGTTTGTGAAGTGCCGGGAGTGCACTCCAACTGTCGGCGTAACTACTAAAGAGTTGTAGGAGACACGGGTCTTCCTAACTTTATTTAAATTCTACCTTCCCGAGAATTGCAATTCAATTAAATTAGTTATTCTGAGACAATAAGCTTTTTGGGGTTTTAAAATAAGTATGTGATAATTTTATTCAATTATTTCTGGGCAAGCCTATTTTACTAAGGTCCATTCGCGGATTTTCTTTAGTATTGGTATATCCAAGTCACTGTCATCCTTTTTGTTTAGAACAAGTCGGTGCTAGAAAACCACCACTGGCGGTGTGCGACGAGCTGCCTCATTGAGAGCGGCGTCATGGAGAGCCTGAGCCACATCTGGTCCAGTCTGCAGGACCAGATCTCAGCCCTCATCCTCGCCACTGATATCACGCGGCAGCAGGAATACCTCAACGTGTTCAAGGTAAGACTACGACTTACATGTACCTGCAATTGGCGCATTCATTAGCCCCTTAGCGTCGAGTATGACCATCAGAAATCTTCACTAAAAGCATATTTAAGTAAGTATTAAATGATTACATGTGTAAGGGTTAAATATCTACTTCTTGTAGAGCCATCTAGCGGAGATTGGAGAACGTTATTGCAACTCTCGCACCGCGCACCGAATACATATTTAAAAACATACCTTAATTTTATCATACAAATTTTAACTTAGATTCCTATAAAAGAAATGATAGACAAATAAAACGACTGAATTACATTGAGATTCATTAAGAAGTAGTAGAAGTAGAAGGATTATTTTTAGTTTTGAAAAGATTTAAATATAACTTTTGCAGACAAAATATTTTAAAAAAGTAATGATGTGAGTTGAAAACATGTCTTGAAGACCATTAAGATTGTACGAAAACAGTTTACTGTTGAATTATAATAAAACATTTACTCGTGAACATTACTTACGATATTTTATAAAAAATGATAGAATAGTTTATATTCATATTCTATATCAACGGTCTCTAATAAATATAAAAGATTACACTTATGTCCTGCTTATGAATGATAATAATTACGGTTATCTTTGGTTCTAAGTAAACAACACTCGAAGTTAACAATTATGTACATTTGTGTACACTTGTCTAAAGATATGTCTAGATTTTTCAAATTAATTTTTACCGTGACGTCACGACCTCGCATTTAAAATTAATCTGTTATTTTGATCGCGATCCCGAAATAACGGGTTGTAGTGTCAACTGAGAGTTATATTTAAACTAGCGTGCCACTATTTTGCGAATACGTACCGCTTTTAGATTAACCCTCTAGCACACTGCTGAGAAACCGAAACAGTTTTGAATTAAAGTAAACTTAAATTAATAGTCTTAAATCTACAAACATTTTTATAGATCCCCCCGTATGTTAAACTATTTTTTTTAATAAGGAATAGTTGCAATTTTTATACGAATAATATTAATCGATTAATCGATTGTTAAGTAAAAATTAAAACTATTAATAATAGTCATCGTTTTATTTAATAGTATTTCAATTTATTATAACGTTTTAGTAAAAGCAATTTAAATTATCGAACACCTATCGTGTTGCATCGATGGATTTAGCCATAGAGTAATTACATACGTTGGCGCAAAATAGATTCTGCACTCAATTTCAATGAGCCAACATACAAATATTAGATTTCAAAATAACGGTGCACGATATTATCTTATAGAGTTATTTATCAATTCCTATTTCGTCACACATTTTTATTATATTTGTGTTTATTTTTATTAACTTTTATTTAATACATTTAATGAATTTTAACTCTCTTAAAATAACTAAAAGTTTATCGTATCTTTAACCTTTAAGGGCTACAAATATTTGGCGATTTAAAAGTAATTTCACAAATAATATTTTCATTTTTAACAATTTTAAGATACTATACTTAAAGAGCTTTAGACAAAAGTCATGTCACTCATACGATGTTCTAAGTGGGTAGCGAAATTAATTCTTTGACTGTATAATCAAGAACATCAGTGCGAGTTATTATTTTATAGTTTTAGATTCTATTCGTAATAACATTTTCTATTGGAACAACAAGTCTGCAGTAAAAGCTTTTCTTGCAAAGGAATTGTCAGCTTTACTCTGACACTTGTTTTTGTTACTCATTCCGCTGCAGAATTTCATCGTAAACAATGAAACCGCTGGCATTGGAAGAAAGTCGGGAAATTTAAATTAAATCTTACCGAAGAATCTTTTTTAAAAACGTTAACTTTTGCAACTTTAAATGAAAGATACAATCAAAATTTATAAACAAATATTTTCGTAAGAGAGAAAAGTTAAAGGAATACTAATTTATTGGTTACTAGCTGTCGGCCGCGACACCGTCTGTGTGGAATTAAAAACAAACTTAATAGCCTATGTGTTCTTTTGGACTATATTCTTTATCTATGCCAAATTCTTCTAAGAGTGGTAGAGCCCGCTTTAACATCTTCGCACGAATTGGCCAGGTTCGCCCGGTGAAATACCACGACCACACAGAAAACAGGCGTAAAGTGGAAGAAATTCCGCGTTTCGTCTGATGAGTGTGCGTCCCGGAGGCCTAATTTAGTCCTCTTTCCCTTCCCACCCTTTTCTAATAAGGGAAGGATGGGAAGTGGAAGTGGACTTTCCGGATGAGAGGATGCATCGAAAGGGAAAATATTTTCTTTCTGTGCATCCTCTCCTCCGTCGATTAAAGGTAGGCAACGCTTATGCAATTGCGTATGTCTATGGGCAACGGTCACTTCGCTACTTCAGCGATTTCAGGTGGCCGCTCGCTTGTTTGCCACCTTATGATATAAAAAAAAATCATCAAGATCCGTTGAGCATTTACAAAATGTCTTCTAAGAAATATCCAACCATCTAAACTTTATATTTATAATTTTAGTAAGATTAATTATTTTTTTATATCATAAGGTGGCAAACGAGCGAGCGGCTACTTGAAATCGCTGAAATAGCGAAGTGACCGTTGCCCATAGACATACGCAATTGCATATGCGTTGCCTACCTTGAATCGACGGAGGGGAGGATGTACATCATTATCTCCCAGTTAAACAATATGAAGAGAAACCTATATTATTATTCTATTTTGTCGTAAATAAAATGTTGACAACATTTTGTGTCGTGAATTTTAAAATCCAGAGTAGTTTAATAAAAGAGTGTGGACGTAATTTGTACCTCAGCTAACCCAGTTACTGTAGGATACGTAACGAAATTACAGTGCATGTGGGAAAAATGTACACTCCCGATTAAAAAATATCTACATTCGTGTCGTTACGTTGCCGTGATCATGTACACGTAAAAAAAATTCGGATTCAAATCCGATAAACAAAAATAAAATATTAATTTCCTACTAGTCCACCTGATCAGAATTAAAAAAGTTAACACCTATGTTTCTTTCAGGCTATATTCTACATCCATGCTACAGCCAGATCTGTTAGCAAAATGATAACTTTAAATATAATTTATCTGCCAGTAACAGGAAAAAGAATTACATAATAATTAAACACCAAGTGCAATTCTAACAACTTATAAAAACAAGCTACATTTTGAATTAGTGGCTCCAGTCTCGTTAATTAACTTGTCTAGCACCGCTTCGGACTTTTATATATCGATAAAACATAAATGATTTATAACTATTAATTTAACGCTACACAAATCTTACTTCTTACTAATATTATAAATGCGAATGTTTGGATGGATGCATAGATGAATATTTGTTTGAAGGTATCTCTAGAACGGCTGAACGGATGTAGATGTAGATATCTACATCTATATATGTCTGGAAGAACACAGGCTACTAATGATGTTTTTTTTTAATTCCACTTGTGGTAATAAGGTAACTTGATATTTCATCATATGGTAATTAAAGAACATGTTTCTGATCACTGGGCGTCAGTTACACATTAGTTTGATCGTGCTTTAAGCCGCTTTACAAAGTTCATTATGACAACGACACACACGGGTTTACAGCTGAGATGTAGAAGTTCCCAAACTTTTACAGTCCCGTCACAAACAAAGACGTGCACAAACTCAATCGAAGTAGTTGCAGTTAATAATTACTTGCTAAAGATGTTTACATTTTCTGTAAGAACATTAAACAACTTGCTCATAATATTAATTACTCATTATAGCAATGTTACTTTTATACTTTTTTTTTTATACTTTTATCAAGAAATAACTTTAGTGATGAAAATCTTTTTCATATTTGCAACGAAAGAAAAACAAAGTGAAAAGGATATAAGCATAAAATTATTTAACTTTCTTCCATAATACAAATAAAAACACTAATGAGCTCCGAATTTCGCTTAAACGAAACAGAATAAATAACAAACTTGAAAATAAATTGCATGTTCGCTTCTATGAAACTTTACATTTCTATTTCATTCCAGTTTTCCAATCAGCCGAAAATATTTCTAATTATTGCGATTTGTTTGTATTTAAAAATTGAAATATTAAAAGCAAAGCAATAAATCAGATTTATAATCAAAGTCAAATCATAAAATTTAAATAGCTTATTTAGTTATCAAATATTATAATATGTTGAAACATATTATCGTTTAATTAACATCGCGTTTAAACTTATTGACACTTAATTTTAAACTTGTATTAGTTTAAAATTACATTGACTTTCAACATCGAAGTCTTACGTACTTTTTAGAAATTTTTATATTCAAAGTTCTATGTAACTTTAATCGAAACGTAAACTTTTGCGGCGTCGATGAACGTCGACATGATGTGCTTTACGATAAAATGTAGTTATCTGAAAGTTGTTTTTTCTTTCCATATTCTTCATTTCAACCTCAAGCAAGTCTTCAACTATAATATTTATATTTTAAGTCTTCTACTACAACTATAATTTCTTTGAGTTAATAAGCCTTTATAAACGACGGTGATTTTCAGATCTTTTTATTTATTTCATTGTCCTTTCGGTTTTTAATAGAAATGTGACGAGAGTTTTACGTTACGTACTTTAAATTTCGTAATTGTTTACAATCAAACTATTCACAAACACCACCTGTCTAGTGAATAAACACAATTGCATGCATCCACGACTATCGCAACCAATTATTTCTCCCTCGGTACGCATACTGACGCTCCGGTTACCGCAAACGTATCAGTAAAATAATCCCCAAGAGATAATCTCTACATGCATTTACACATAACAGCTTTATAATTCGAATAGACGTTAGCTCAGCGACTTCACTTTAATAGCAATTAATATTAGGTATATGTAGAAGACATCTTGGTTACATCGTCTGTTAACAGTCCCACAAGACTGTAACTAGGAAACTAAATGTGAATAAAAATATAGTATAGTAGACTTTTATACTAAGAACTTTAAAAATCTTTAACTTTCTAGTTTGTTAAAAAACGTAATACTTCTGTAACAATATTTTCTTTGAAATAAATTATGTATCTTCGGTTAATACTAAG